TTTTAAACCTGTACTTTGTATTTGAATGTTCAAGTCTTTAAAACATATTTAGTGGTATAATAAAAACACCAAAGTTTATGTTTTTTAACAAAATGAACTGAAATAAAACAGCTGATTTATGTTTTTGGAGGAGAATGAGTTGTGTGGAATAATAATAAATAAAAAATAGGAGGTATTCGTGACCACACTTACTATCTTCCTTTTGGTGGCCTTCTTCTTCTTCAGCCTCATCTGTTTCTCAGTGGCCAGCTCCTGCAGCTGTGCTGGGCTCAGCTGGGCCTTGAACTTCTGGACGTCCAACTTGTACTGCTCCATGTCCAGGAGAAACGTCTTTTGAAAAGGCTTTAATAGAGAAAGAAATCCACAATGTTTGGTCACCAGCACACAGTAAACCCGCAGTGATTAAACCCTCCACACAAGCTGATCTGTAAAATGTAATCAGTGGAGTCAAATACCTCTTTCTGCTCTGGGCTCATCGTTCTCCACTCCTGGGCAAGTTTCCTGATGATGTCCACTAATTTCATCTCTGAAGAACACAATCAGAAGATGTTAAAATCCTTCATTAAGGAGCAAAAGAGTTTGATTTCAATCTGATAATCAGCCAAGTGTTAATCCAACAGCTGCACGTTCCTGCAGCTTCCAATCCCAAACTATGGGCCACATTTACATTTACACCTGTCACCTAAACACAAAATGTTTGTTTACCTGGATGTCGACTCGCTATGAGCGGCTGCTGTTGATGGACATATCTTAAGTATCCATTAATAGGTCTCTTTGGAGGAGCGCTGGCCTCAGTGCTCAGATATTTGACTGGGTTTATGTTTGCAGAGCAGAAGACACCGGCACATCTGAAAACAGGAGGAAACATGAAACTGAGCTCCCAAATCACACATTCTTCCTAACAGGGACATAATCAAACAATAAAAACCAGACGGTGGCAATCAGATGTCTAACATGATTTTAACATTTCTGTCTGTAAAATAAAATGTTTGTGTGCTGCCCATTAATCAGCTGTTTCATGTAGATATATTAGTAACTACTGCATTAACTATCTCTGCAAATACTGGGACTTATCTACTAAAAACATTAACTCTACTTCTTCCTTTCTGGTCTCAGGGAGCTGCTGTCCATGTCCAACAGTCAGTGGGACACCTGGACATGTCTCCAGACCAGCACAGGGACAACCAACCCACCAATGAATGGTACTAATGTTTTGGTCGCACATGCTCCACAAGGCCCCAGGAGGTCTAACCAGTGCTCCACCATGTAACCAGTGAACATCTAACCAGTGCTCCACCATGTTACCAGTGAACATGTAACCAGTGCTCCACCATGTTACCAGTGAACATCTAACCAGTGCTGCACCATGTTACCAGTGAACATGTAACCAGTGCTCCACCATGTTACCAGTGAACATCTAACCAGTGCTCCACCATGTTACCAGTGAACATCCAACCAGTGCTGCACCATGTTACCAGTGAACAT